GTACACGAGCGTGCTTGTTGATAGAGTTTGTTTCAGACACCTGACTTTCTAGCATGTCCAGCCCCGTCTTCTTACTGGCTCGCACCATTATCAGATTTTTGCAAGGTCGAACTCGCGACCTCCCTCCGATTTGAGACAGTGAGTTGCCTCTCCAAACTGCTTGCTTTTGCTCCAGTATTAGCGGGCTAATTTCATTGCATGGAAGTTGATAAACCACACCCGATTGCTTACTTGCACTTGAGCCATTCCTTCCCTGCATGGTTCTGGCGCGCATACTGCCTATCAGGTGATAGGCGATATTCATGCCAAACTTTGCGCCATTGCGTTCCGCAGCGCCTGACAGATTCCCCATTTACAGTAAATGATGCAAGAATCCTAGTGGCTCCAGCTCTCTCTCTCTCTCGTTTTCTTCCTCGTAGGCGCGTATGCAGGCAGCGGCTACTTAATGTTTTTTGGTAGCCGTTTGTTGCCAGTGGGTTTCCAAGATGCCGCAGTTCTTGTATTTGTCCCTCGTGTTCACGTCAATGCGTTCTTACCCTTGGGGAGAGCACAGTCGCGTTCGTGCACCATCGGTTGCGTGCTATGATAACTGAAGACCTGGGTTCTATCGGTCCCCTTGCTGCATACCGCGATATTGTTCCGCGCTCCTGTTAATGAAAAGCGCCTTATTCCTTTTCTCCATTCTGACCGAATCTTGACTGATATCCGACCTCTTCACCAAATTCGACCTAAGGTCGACACACCCACATAGGCAGAAGCCTATTGTTTGAAACTGACAGATCCCTATTCCGACAGTGTTCATGTAGTAAAGCTACTATTATATCACCATCTTGGCTTCCACCTCGGCCTCTGAATGACAGAAGGAGCCGGAAAAATTTCCTGGAAATGTATAGGATGATCAGCCTGAAAACAATTTATATAAAGGGCAACTTTCAGTTCACGATGGCTGTTTTTGGAACCAGCGTAATGATGATAGGACAAAGAAGGACCATGGATCACCGTCGAGTAAGTTCTAGAACGTTACTGTTCACGAACACATCCCCAATCTCCGCTTATATAGCTTTTGTCCCCTCCTTACCCCTCCTACCTTTCTCTCCTTTTCTTGGACATTGTTCGTTTGATGTGATGCTAACGTGGGCCAAGGTGGTTTTGGCTATGTGTGCTAATTTACCAAGGTGTATTGATCAACCACTGCAAGTTCTCTGACCAAATTATCTACTACATGTTTAAGCACAGGGCTGGTTTGCTCAAGTTTCTACGTTCAAAGGCAGACATTCCCGGCCACCTTTCCGCCATATCACTTTAAGGCCCCGAAGTCCACCGACTTGCAAAAACGCTGCAGTTAGCATAGAGAAACACGAGGAGGACGTTTTTGAGGGCAGAGTTAATTATTCTTAGACGGATGTCTAGTGTTCAGCTTCCAGCGCGTGCGCGATACAAAATACATAGAGACTCATGGAATGCTGTCGTACAGCTGAACCGAATTGAAAGTGCATATGAGAAGTCACGACTGTAACCATCTATATAACATGGGAAAGTCTTGGTGGTTCGACTCAATTGCATTGCGTGTTGCAGTCGATGACGCCTACGGCTCATCTGCCTGTCTATAAAAGGAGATACAATTTTGATTGTGTGACAGTTGCCATCAGTGGAACTCCATCTACTCTGCTCCCCTTCTGCCGTCTCCACAATCAATTACTCAGTCTCTCACCCACGAAATCCGCACAGTTCACCTGGGCGACTTCTGCGGTTACAGTTCGGGAACAGAGATAGCAGTTTAGAAGGCTTGATCCTTACACGCTGTTCTCATCTGCCACAACCCCACTGTCAACCCTTTCTCACCTATTCAGTGTCCGTTTAGGTTTTCATCAATGGTGTCGTGTCCAGCAACAAATGCGGCACTGGCATATTTACATAGCATGCGATATTTTTTTCCCAGAATGTGAATCATTTCGACCTGAATATGTTTACTTCAGTTCTCTCCCTCTCCCTCCTCCGTCGTAGACTGTTGACTTTCGTGTTCGAGCTCCGCGTTTGCAGTCGAAACTGAAACTGGCCGGACGGCGTCCACGTGTGGCTGACAGAGAGAACTCCGATGGCTCCGGGTCGGAGGTAGAACTAGCCTCTGGAGGGTGCGGCGACTCGGGTGCTGTGGCCTCAACCACTGGCAAAGACCAGCAGTC